ATATTTATGCAACTGGGAGGGAGGCAATATTACAAAATATAGCATTACTTTCCGGAAAAAACTTGGATACACTTAGATAGAAGTTGTACAAATAATAAATAATTATAAAAATAATAAAACTTGCAAATTTACAAGAATAAAAATGCAATGTTTTCTGAGATTATACAATTGTATCTTTCTTATTTAAATTTTTTTAAATATTTGATGTTCATTTTATTCACTGTATATTATTTTGTTATGAATGCCCTGTAACAATATAATTTCTTAAAATACAAATAGAACATAACAGTTTCCCTTTATCGTCATTTCAACCAAATTAAAAACCAGTTCTAACAGTTTTCATACATCAACACAGGCTCACTATTTGGCAAGATGACTTAGCCTTATATTGGCTACTTATGGCGCATTTCCACTGCAGCACGTAGCACGGTTTAAGCGTGCCATGCCAAACCCGGCCCGTTTTTTTTTGCTTTTCCACTAGGGGTAGTTCCGGCTACTTTTTCACCTTTTTTCTGGCCCTCCAAAATCGAGGTTCTTACCGGGCCAACAACCGGGCTGAGTATGCTGAACTAGTGACGTAAACACTCTCGACTGCTGAATGGTCAGAGAGTCGCTGGCAAGGGGGCTACAACTACAACACAATGAACATATTTGACCGTGATTTAATTGTAATACACGTTTCAAAATGATGCCGAAGTNGGTATCATTTTTTTCATACCGTCATACCTTGCTGACATCATACCGTGGTATTTGGGAGAAATTACCCCTTAAATTGGGACTGATACCGTCATATACCGTATACCACGGTATGATGTCAGCAAGGTATGACGGTATGAAAAAAATGATACCGCCCATGCCTAATTGAGATGAACTTTTGTTATTGACCAAATACTTATTTTCCACCATAATTTGCAAATAAATTCTTTAAAAATCAGACCATGTGATTTTTTTTGATTTTTTTTTTTCTCATTTTGTCTCTCATAGTTGAGGTATACCTAGGATGAACATTACAGGCCTCTCTCATCTTTTCAAGTGGGAGAACTTGCACAATTGGTGGCTGACTAAATACTTTTTTGCCCCACTGTATATCACCATTCAAACATAAACATTTTCAGAAAACCTACACAGCTCTCTGAAATGCTTACTTTATTTGATCATTTCAGTAAAGAAGTTCAAATTTCGCCTTTTGATTATTATCGTGTTGGACGTTCATAACAAAGCCCTTTGACAAGTTACGGTATACGTTTTTAAATGCTTAATAAGCACCGTAACTTTCATGACTTGCATTTCTCGTNACTACAACAACCAGTTTCCACGAAAAGGCCCATTTACCAAGTGAATACTCTGCCACAAAAAATAAGGACCTATTATTAGGCAGTTTTATGAAAGTGATCCTCATTCCCCGCTAGATCCCATGCTTAGGTTTCCTACGAGGGGATACAAGAGCTTTCCCACTGGTTCCCTCTGTCTTGTGCAGCCCCGCATTATTATTTCGGTGACACGACACTTTTCAAGGGGAAATATTTTCTTTGCCGAAGCCAGCCGGGAAAATATCTTGAGCGCAGTGACAGGAGGTCCCAGGGCAGCTGGTGTTTTGACGTTGTCTGCTAAACTGGATTTTTCATGGAAATTGAGCGAGGGAAGAAAAGTGAATCTCGCCGTGGTTACGGAGCCTCTAACCTCCCTTTCTGGATTTTACCACCATTGGTTGACGGGTGGGAAAGAGATGAATGTCCGGGGTTTTATAGGTCACCTATTATTTTTAACATTTACAGCATGTGTAAAAGACCTTCTGGAAAGTTTTTCTCTCCTCTTTTGATCCATTTCTATTAAAAAACCTGTTCTGAAAAATGAGCTGATCAGGATTTTTTGGGCCACTTATTGATTGTTTTCATAACGAGTTTTTGTCTGAGTAACCCATTAGCCAATCAAGGCAACCAAGGTAAACCCCCCCCCCCTCCCCCTCTTATCACCCCTTGAATCTCCTCCTACCCCCGGCACTATTGGTCTTTTGTAAACCCAAAGTCTTCTCAGAGGCGTGGGAGGGGGCTCCTTATTTCATCTAAAAGTAACAGACAGGAATTCCAGCAACGTTTGGGAAACCAGGGCTGAAACAGAAGAGGATTATGGGGGTAATGCTGCAATTATGGTTTTGTTTTGGTGTTTTTTTTCAGCCATCAAGATCCTGGGATATATTCTGAGGAACCTGTGATATATTGATGAAACACTCAGTATAATAGGTGAGCTTTAAATCACATATACTCAGTACAGATCAGTGAGAGAGAGAGAGGGGTGTAACGGAGGGTTTCTTTACCTGGGCGTCTCTCGTATTGTTGCTGCCTGGTTCCTCTCTGCTGCTCTGGCTCGGGTCCGCCACCTCGGAGTTGCCGTCGTTTTCTTGTGGAGACGGCACCTCTTCGGCCGCCTCGGAAACCTTCATCGTTTCAGTGTCAACTGTGTCGGACATTCTCATTGCAAAGTCTTACTGGGAGATGCTGGCGAATACAGAGAACCTGAAAGAGATGGAAATGTCCGTGAGGGCTGTTTTCTTTTCTTTGGGGCGTTGGCTAAAAGTAAGAATGAGACACTGCAGAGGTAATGTTTTATTAAAAGGCATGGAATAACAGGGACATATAAATAAAGTACACCACAAAGTTCAAGTAGTTCATGTATTTATTCGATGGATGTACTCAGGCAGCTCTTCAACATGTGTTATTGGAGTGAAAAAAGCCATTAACTGACACAAATCACACATTTTATTTATTTTCAAATGCACCATTTCTACCTTAAATACTCACATATACAGTGGGGCAAAAAAGTATTTAGTCAGCCACCAATTGTGCAAGTTCTCCCACTTAAAAAGATGAGAGAGGCCTGTAATGTTCATCCTAGGTATACCTCAACTATGAGAGACAAAATGAGAAAAAAAAAAATCAAAAAAAATCACATGGTCTGATTTTTAAATAATTTATTTGCAAATTATGGTGTAAAATAAGTATTTGGTCAATAACAAACAAACAAGATTTCTGGCTCTCACAGACCTGTAACTTCTTCTTTAAGAGCCTTCTCTGTCCTCCACTTGTTAACTGTATTAATGGAACCTGTTTGAACTCGTTATCAGTATAAAAGATACCTGTCCACAACCTCAAACAGTCACACTCCAAACTCCACTATGGCCAAGACCAAAGAGCTGTCAAAGGACACCAGAAACTAAATGGTAGACCTGCACCCCAGGCTGGGGAGACTGAATTTTCTGCAATAGGTAAGCAAGCTTGTGTGAAGAAATCAACTGGTGGAGGAATTATTAAGGGAAATGGAAGACATCAAGACCACTGATAATCCTCCTCGATCTTGGGGCTCACGCAAGATCTCACCCCGTGGGTCAAAATTGAAGGGAACAAGAACGGTGAGGCAAAAATCCCCAGGAAACCCAACACGGGGGGACTTAGGTCCCAGACCTGCAAGGGGAGAGGCGGGGAACCAAAGTAAAAAAGGGCTAACCATTCAGTAAACACACTACGCCCACCAGGGACTCAAATCCCTGCAGTGGGGCCAGACCGGGTGGTTCCCCTGCTTAAGCCAGTACATGTCCAGGCCCGTCTTGGTTCTAGAGAGCTTTAGATATCCAGAAAGGGATGGAGGAATTGTTCATATTGTCAGATGAACACCAAAATAGACTTTTGTAAAAAACTCAACTAGGGCGTGTTTGGGAGGGGAGAAAGAATGCTGAGTTCCATCCCAAAAGAAACCCCTACTGTTGGAAACCCCCCCATGGGGTTGGGGAAACAATATTGCTTTGGATGCAAACTCATGCATTTTTTCTCTCCAAAACCGTTCTAGGTTGAGTTTTACCAAAAAAAAAGTTATTTTTGTTTCATCTGACCCATTATGAATTTTCCCCAATCCTCTTCTGGATCATCTAAATGCTCTCTAGCAAACTTCAGACGGGCGGCACATTTGTCTGGGCTTAAGCAGGTGGGGACACGTTTCTGGCACTGCAGGATTTGAGTCCTGTTGGGCGTAGTGTGTTACTGATGGTGCCTTTGTTACTTTGGTTCCGCTTCTGCAGGTCATGGACTAAGTCCCCCGTGTGGTTCTGGAGATTTTTGCTTCACGTTCTTGTTTCTCATTTTGATCCCACGGGTTGAGATCTTGCGTTGAGCCCCGTCGAGGGCAGAATTATCAGGTGGTTCTTGTATGTTTCCCATTTTCTAAATAATGCTTTCCACAGTGATTTCTTCACACCCAGCTGCTTACTATTGCAGATTCAGTCTTCCCAGCCTGGTGCAGGTCTACCATTTAGTTTCTGGTGTCCTTTGACAGCTCTTTGGTCTTGGCCATAGTGGAGTTTGGAGTGTGACTGTTTGAGGTTGTGGACAGGTATCTTTTATACTGATAACGAGTTCAAACAGGTTCCATTAATACAGTTAACAAGTGGAGGACAGAGAAGGCTCTTAAAGAAGAAGTTACAGGTCTGTGAGAGCCAGAAATCTTGTTTGTTTGTTATTGACCAAATACTTATTTTACACCATAATTTGCAAATAAATTATTTAAAAATCAGACCATGTGATTTTTTTTGATTTTTTTTTTTCTCATTTTGTCTCTCATAGTTGAGGTATACCTAGGATGAACATTACAGGCCTCTCTCATCTTTTTAAGTGGGAGAACTTGCACAATTGGTGGCTGACTAAATACTTTTTTGCCCCACTGTATATGTGAGTATTTAAGGTAGAAATGGTGCATTTGAAAATAAATAAAATGTGTGATTTGTGTCAGTTAATGGCTTTTTTCACTCCAATAACACATGTTGAAGAGCTGCCTGAGTACATCCATCGAATAAATACATGAACTACTTGAACTTTGTGGTGTACTTTATTTATATGTCCCTGTTATTCCATGCCTTTTAATAAAACATTACCTCTGCAGTGTCTCATTCTTACTTTTAGCCAACGCCCCAAAGAAAAGAAAACAGCCCTCACGGACATTTCCATCTCTTTCAGGTTCTCTGTATTCGCCAGCATCTCCCAGTAAGACTTTGCAATGAGAATGTCCGACACAGTTGACACTGAAACGATGAAGGTTTCCGAGGCGGCCGAAGAGGTGCCGTCTCCACAAGAAAACGACGGCAACTCCGAGGTGGCGGACCCGAGCCAGAGCAGCAGAGAGGAACCAGGCAGCAACAATACGAGAGACGCCCAGGTAAAGAAACCCTCCGTTACACCCCTCTCTCTCTCTCACTGATCTGTACTGAGTATATGTGATTTAAAGCTCCCCTATTATACTGTTTTTCATCAATATATCACAGGTCTCAGATATATCCAGAGCCTGTCTCTGATTGGCTGAAACACCAAACAGATCATTGCAGCATTACCCATAATCCCCTCTGTTTCAGCCCTGTTTCCAAAGTGCTGATTTTCTGTCTGTTACTTTAGATGAAAATAAGGAGCCCCTCCCCACGCCCCTCTGAGAGACATTTGGTTACAAAGAACTCAATGGTGCTCTAGGAGGAGATTCAGGTGATAAGGTTAGGGGGAGGGGGGGGGGGTTTACCTTGGTTGCTGATTGGCTAATGGTTACACAAGACAAAACATCGTTATGACATCATAAAGTGGCCAAAATCTGATCAGCTCATTTTCAGACAGGTTTTTATAGAAATGGATCAAAAAGAGAGAAACTTTCAGAATGTCTTTACACATGCTTATGTATAAAAGAATAGGTGACTTATAAACCCGGACATTCATCTCTTTCTCAACCCGTCACATGGTGGTAAAATCAGAGAGGTTACAGCCGTCCGTACCCGGCGAGATTCACTTTTCTTCCTCGCTCATTTCCATGAAAATTCAGTTAGCAGTCAACGTCAAACACCAGCTGCCCTGGGGATCTCCTGTCACCTGCGGCGTTCAAGATGATTTTCCCGGCTGCTTCGGCAAGAAAAACTATTTCTGAAAAGTGTCGTGTGCACCGAAATAATAATGCGGGGCTTGCCACGGCACAGAGGGAACCAGTGAAGCTCTTGTATCCTCCGTAGGAGACACTAAAGCATGGGATCTACTGGGGATTGAGGATCACTTTCTAATAAACTGCTAATTAATAAGGTCTATTTTGTGTGCAGAGTATGCACTTGTAAATTGGCTTCAAAGTGAAACTGGTGTTGTAGTTTGTGCTCAAAATTAGGAATATGATCTCTGGTCAGGAAAGGAAATGATTGTATCTTTTGGCAGCGGCTCTAAAATAGGATTCAGGCCAATCTGGCCTCGTGGTGGGAGGCAGGCAGGCAGATAATCTGGAGCTCAAATCCTGGCTTATCTAGCAACTTCCTGTGTCTACGTTACCCTGAGGAACAGAATGACACCAGCATGTGTGAAGCTGCAGGGGGAGACGAAGGGGGGAGGGATGGTTGAGGGTTCTTTTCCTAACATTTGAACAAGAATACATTTGAAACGGTTGAATCTTTTCTCCAAGCCAGCTGCTTTTTGTACCCTCTCCTTTAACAGCTCAGCTTGAGTTGACTTTGCTTCCACTGTTTTTTCTTTGACCTCTCCAAAAGTCGCCCTGTCCTTCCTCTTTCTCCCTAAAACTCACCCTGAGATAATTACTCGCTGGTCGCAGGATCGAAGCGGCTGACCTTTCCGCTTGTCATTTTCCAAAGCTAATTTTGTCATTCTGTGTAAGGGCGGCGGTTAAACGCCTGTTCATCGTGGAGGGAAATAGAGTATACTTGGGGTTAGAAGACGGGGGAGGTGGAAAAGCATTCCTACAGAGAAAAAAGGGAGGAGGGGGAGAAACGTGTGACATTGCCGCCATCTGCCTCCAGCTCTCCGTCGTCCTCTGAGCAGGACAGGTGGCCGCCCTACTTCTGCTGACTTCAGCCCTTTTCCCCGGTCTTTTATCTCCTGCCGGCATTGTTCGGTCCCCACCGGCCCCTCGCCGCTCAATTAGCCGGTGAAGCGGTGCGGCGCACGGTCCCAAATCGCTCCCTTCCTCCCCCTTTCTCCACATCCACATTACCTGATATAGAGAAAGGGTCACAGGCAGCGAACGGCGGGGCGAACGGCGCTCCATTTAAATCTTTCATAGGTGATATTTGGCCCTCGGCTCAATGAGGGAGGGGAGTGGTTGTCCTTTTGATTTTAGAGGACAGGTGGGAAGGACAGCTGTGTGTGTGTGTGTGTGTGTGTGTGTGTGTGTGTGTGTGTGTGTGTGTGTGTGTGTGTGTGTGTGTGTGTGTGTGTGTGTGTGGGAGAGGAAGCTGGGCTCTGTTACAATTTTGCCTGAAATGGCTCCTGCCAGGTCTAACCTCCCCCCCTCCCTCTTCCTCCACTCCTCTATGCCTACTACTGAGAGACCTTCTGTTTATTCGTACCAACACACACACACACAGTCACCGGTGCGTGAAGCTGTCTCACACACTGTTGGCCAGTCAGTCTCTCTCTCTGCTTCTCACCTCCAGCGCCTAGGTCTGATTCACATGACAGTTAAATGCAAACGCATAAAAACTGACCCGAATCGTTGCGGCCACATGTCTGGCTTTTGTTTTCTCGTGTGTGTGTGTGAGAGAGAGAGAGAGAGAGAGAGAGAGAGAAAGTGGCCTCACAATGCAGCCACTTTGGTAGCATATGTTCTGCACAATTAATTCAGTCCTGATATGTCATGCTGTGCAGGGAATTTGCAATTTTCTAACCACAGATCATCGTCGTTTCAATTCACAGACAAGTGTTAAAAAAACTACGGCACTTGCTATGAATTGTTTTGTAGAGCTTCGTATGCACAATATGTAGGCCAGTCATATTTAATTCAAACCTCTCCACTTCCTTAAAGTAACAATCCTCTGTCCCACCTCCACCAAGCTTCTGTGGTGTGTTTGATTTCTCTTCCTGTGCACTTTTCTCCCCGACACCCCTCCCTTACCTGTGGACAGCCTGTGAAATGCTCTAAGGTACGGTACGCTCCACCTGCATGTTGTAAAAAGGAGGCTCCGCCCTGTGTAATGTGCACTTGGATTGCGTTGTTTGCCTGGATGAAGCTGGAAGTTGTACCCGTGTTTCCTGTAAAGCCAGTTGTCATGTACACATTGCTCCGGTTGTTTAAAATGAGATCAGTGTTGAGATGCCATTACACGAATGAGAGTGCAGGCTATTGTGTGAATTATGCCTGGAAATACAAACCGTTTGAAGTGGACATTGTGCTTGCTGCATCGCTGTTGATATTACCCCGGGATGAAAAACACATTATGTGAAAGTGCTTACTCTATTTCCTTATTTACGGTTGTTTTGATCCACTTATCTGAGAGAATGTGGTCTCCAGTCATCACTCTGGGAAAAGATTTGTCAGCTAAAATGTGAAATATAGAAACTGTACGATTTGCTTGCAGTAATCGATTGTGCTCGCTGGCTGTTTCTGTTTTCTCTGGCTTGTCCCTGTGATGATATTGATGCAGATCTGTGTGTGTGTGCATGGTTTTTTAACTGTGCCCACCTACCTGCAAACCCCCTCCCCCTTAGCCCAACACCAGGCTAAAGCTGGTGCGGAGCCTGGCAGTGTGTGAAGAGTCCTTTCCTTGCCCTAGCCCTGAGCCTTCAGCAGAACCTCAGGTAACAACCGCTGAGTGTTAAACAGGGGTGTCAAACTGAATTTCATCGCGGGCCACATTAGAATTATGGTTGCACTCAAAGGGCCGGTGGTAACTTTAAGACTATATAAATATACATAGATAAATATATATAAAACAATGTATTATTTTTACATTATTTCCTCTGCATTGGATTATTATCTAGGGTAATCATTTCATAATTAACTACGTCTGATAGCAGAAGTCTAGGGCAAATCATTGCAAGTCTCTTCAGTGCACGTCTCACAAAATGAGATGCATTGTGGGACATGTAGTTTATGGGCAACGTGCTCCTGTAAAGCGGCACGTAACTTTATAATAAACTGATTATATTCTTTGCAAGCTCTTGTGGGGCCACATAAAATGAAGCGGCGGGCCGGATTTGGCCCCCGGGCCTTGAGTTTGACACCCCTGAGTCATAAGGGATGCAGATTTTCTTTGTTCCATGGTGAAATATTCTGATGGTATTTGTATGAATCGACACTGAAACGGCAGAGCAGCCAGAGTGTTTAGCTACTCTAGCCATGACTTGCTGATGCTATCCTGCAGCTAGCTTATGGGTTGTAACATCCAGTAATGGAGAGCATGAATTTAAACGAACCAAACTCTGTTCATATGGAGTAAAGTTCATCCCAGTCATCTCATCAAACCCCTCAATCAGCCCCATTCATTCATCTACAAGCCCACATGCATACGCTGAGGTGCTGACCAGGGATCAGTTCTCCTTTTGAAGCTCATTACAGCAGAGCAGGTAGACCTCTCATGCTTGATTAGCTTCGTCCGACAGCTTTGATTAAAGACCTGCCTGTGGCCGCTTGATGAAAACATCACATCGTCAAAGGGAAAGTCGAGAACAACAGCGAGCCAGTTTGCTAAATCATCCATTCTTTTTTACGGCGTATCTCAGGGCGAAACCTCCCTTCCCTTTTTGATCGAACTTTTCTCCATTACATGCCACTCTGCACAGCTCACACACAGGTGAGTTTGTTTTCAGCCAGTCAGCAGCGAGCTCCGTAACCAGAGGGCGGTGTTATTCCCACAACAGTCTCGCATCGTCTGCACTCACACGACGTCCTGTATTACTGCCATCAATCATGTCGGGGAAATTACAATTTCCACACGTCAGCTACAGAGAGCTGTGGAGCGCTCTAATTGAATACTCCTGATATTTCCCCCACTACTGTTATTGGGACTGCGGAGGAACCTGGAGGGGCGAGAGGCAAAGCAATAAAAGGAGAGAGGAAACACAAGTGGAGTACACGTTCAGCTGCAGGATCAACGGTTCCCATTCAGACCTCTTGATTATCAAATCTAAAGCATGCCCCCTTTACGTTATTGTCTCTAATGTGAGATTATGGGAGATGACAAAGAGCTGTATGGATTTATGGGCTGTCCAAACCATCACTGCCTCCTGAAAAAGAGACACGCATTGTACGCCTTGTGGCTGTCAATTCCAATCAATGGCCGATAGTCGAGGGCTTCTGAATACACGATGCACTTTTTGTTTTAGTCTGACAGCACGTTCATTACATATTCAGGGGAACCGTCATTTCCCCGCTGCTTTTCCTTTATCTCGAGGTAAATGGATGTCAGGAAACAAATGAGGCGGCTTGCAACAGCTGCACATCAACCGGGCGGCTTGCATGACGCCGGCGGTGGCTTTAAGAAGCAAACATCAGCGCTTCATGCCAGAAAAAAAAACTCTTTTTTGACGAACACACACACACACACACACACACACACACGTACACACACTCCCTGTCACTTCCACGACACACCATCCAAGACTCATTTTCGCTTTCTCCCGGTCTCGCTCAGGCAATTAGTCAGTCACGTTGCTCATTAGCATATTACATTTTCACATATATTCAGCAAACGCTGCCTCTCATTATCTTGCCTCGCAGCTGTTACAAGGATCAAACTCGTGACCTTTTTTGGTTATGCCACTAGGTCACCCCTCCTTCATTCACCCATTTCTCACACACACACACACACACACACACACACACACACACACACACACACACACACACACACAGCGGTGTGTGTGTGTGAATGTACGTAGTGTGTAGTGATGTGAAATGTACCAGGTGATGTAGTGAATAGTCAGGGTGATTTGTGTGGTGTGAATGTTCGGTGTGTGTGAATGTCGGTGTGTGTGTGTGAATGTGGTGTGTGTGAATGTTCAGGTGTGTGTAGTAGTGAATGTCGTGTGTAGTGAATGTCGGTGTCGTGTGTAGAATGTCGGTGTGTGTGAATTCGGTGGTGTGAATGTCGGTGTGGTGTGTGTGTAGATGTACGTGTGTGTGTGTGTGTGACATGTCGGTGTGTCCTGTGTGTGTGTTAATGTCGGTGTGTGTGTGGTGTGTGTGTGATAGTGTGTGTGTGTGTGTGTGGTGTGTGTGTGTGTGGTGGTGTGTTGTGTGTGTGTGTGTGTGTGGTGTGTGTGTGTGTGTGTGTGTGTGTGTGTGTGGTGTGTGTGTGTGTGTGTGTGTGGTGGGTGGTGTGTGTGTGTGTGTTGTGTGTGTGTGTGTGTGTGGTGTGTGTGTGTGTGTGAATGTCGGTGTGTGTGTGAATGGCGGTGTTGTGGGTGAGAATGTCGTGTGTGTGTAAGTGTGTGTGGTGTGTGTGAATGTCAGTGTGTGTGTGTGATGTCGGTGTGTGTTGTGTGAATGTCGGTGTGTGTGTGGTGTGGAATGTCGGTGTGTGTGTGTGTTTATAGACCTAAACGAAAAGTCCGTAAGATGTTTCCGACCACTTCATTTCGACTTTTCTCCTCTCCCAAACTGTCCCGTGACATTCACCTAATTTGTGTTGAGACCCCTCGATTGTAGTCTCACACAACACACACACACACACACACACAA